AAAAGAATAAGCTGGGTTCAAATTACGTTGTTCAAGTTGTAAAATTTGAGTAAAGATTTTGAAAGTTGAACTCACTTAATTGGGACATTCTGAATTCAGAATGGCTGCGGTTTTCGAGATAGCAGTACTTGAAAATATGATTAAATTTTAGCTATTTTATAAACAACTCCCTCAGTTTTGAAGTTATTTTACTAAAATTTTGCACATAACAGTTTTTTTAGTATTACCTTAATTATTCCTTAAAATTATCGAAATAGGTTTACATTAACATATAGCTCCAATACAACTGATTACTCAGATATGTGGTTTTGCGCTATAACTCTAACTTCATATCTGAATAATAAATTTTATGCGTGCTATATGTTAAAGTGAACCTGTACTAAATTTTTCCTTGCTTAATTGGAGGAGTTATAACGCAAAAGAACGAACGTCTCTGATCAATTAGCTGTATGGGAGCTAGATGTTTTAGTGAACCGATTTCGATGATTTTATGGAATAGTTAAGGTAATATTAAAAAACGGTTATGTGCAAAATTTTAGCAAAATATCTTCAAAAATCAGGGACTTTTTTATAAAATAGTTAAAATTTAAGCAAAGTTTCAAGTACCGCTATCTCGAAAAGTGGAGCCAATAGGGTAAAACTGAGGGCGCCATTGAATTTAGAATGCTCCAATTAAGTAAGAGCAACTATCAGAACATTTGTCGAAAAAAAGTTGCTTTGATACCACTCCCGATATATTCTGACTGAAAGAAGGAGCATAATTAAAATTAGTAAATCAGAATTTTTACATACTTCTAGAGAAAAATTTTTTGAAGCATTTTACAGGTATATGTAATTTTTTAAGGACTAGCAGTTATAGAAAGATTTCNCAACTATCAGAACATTTGTCGAAAAAAAGTTGCTTTGATACCACTCCCGATATATTCTGACTGAAAGAAGGAGCATAATTAAAATTAGTAAATCAGAATTTTTACATACTTCTAGAGAAAAATTTTTTGAAGCATTTTACAGGTATATGTAATTTTTTAAGGACTAGCAGTTATAGAAAGATTTCGATCGTTTCGACGTATTTTCCAAATGTGCCTTCAATTAAGATGTTTTTGGAAAAAAAATTACGCTTTTTTGGGCGGGCCACACCAATTTATGGTCCAAAAAATTATAATAGTGGATGCATTGTTCTTGCAAAGTCTCAACATCACACATGCATTCCTTGCATAGTTACGACTTTTGTCACGCTAAAATTGAAAAAGGGCACACTGTGCGCCGCCCACCACCACCACAAGGCAGCCCCCTCGTCTGTAGCACATACAACAGGGGCCGACAGGCAACACAACTCTCTTGTAATGTGGAGTGTACAATTGGTCTCCCAAGGCACACAAAGGGACAATTCAACTGCAACGGACTTCAGAGCAAATTTAATTTTTTTTTTGAATATCCACTGTTTATTGCAATCTGTATTTTATTACCAAATTTTTTAAAGGCATATGTGAAAGTCGTGCCATTGGGCTCTGCTGTTTATTTTCTCTTAAGTCGAGTAAAAATATTTGAATATTTGAGTGGGATGTTAACTCTGTTATGAGTGCGTTAGAGTGACTCAGAATCTTGGGGTCCCGGTGGAGTTGGGTATTTGTGACATAAGAGTTTTTGATTGGAATTTTTGGAGTATTTCAGTATTAGAGAGTTTGAAGCTTTTCCCCACAACTGTATACCGTAAGACCAAATCGGTTTTATGGTTGCTGAGTAGAGTAGTAGTTTGTTTACTAGTGATAATTGAGAGTGTCGATTTATGAGCCAATATAAGTTTCTGAGTTTTAGTCCGAGTGCCTTGCGTTTTGTTAATATATGCGTCTTCCATGAGTAGTGATAGAACGATACGAGTACTTTTTACTTAGAAAATTGAGCTAATTTCACCACTCACGATACCAGCATGCTGATACAATCATAAAATTTTCAAATAGTTTTTGAAGTCGCACCAGCAGCTGGTACAATCACACCACAAGAACATACGCGGTCAATCGACTTGATGGGCCAATTAACAAATTAAGCATATTAAGGGCCGTAAACTTATCTATTTTAAACTATAGTTAAATCGTTAATAAATAAGTTAACAACCCTAACACCTTTACAGTACGTATGTACAAAAACGTAAGGAACATACAATACATACATATATTTATATACAGGGAACGGATTTTATGGAAATTGCCTTTTTTTTCTGCTAAAGAGATAGAGTATATTCGATTAAGAATGTCCACGATTTAGCTCTCCCTGATTCCATATATACACATTTGATGTTGCCTTTTTTTGCCTTTTTTAAGATATTTGCATTTTTTTGCCTTTTATACCTTTAAAAAAGTGATTATGGCATTTAAAATTTTTTTTCAAAGATTAAAAAATATACACATTGCCCATGCGGCTTATAGAAGCGCAGAGACCTCTTGCCAAATTGGTGTTGGAAAAAATCAAAGCCATTTTCTCAGCTAACGAAGGCTTGGAGACAATAAGGGGTGTGGATAAAATTATAAAGGGCGAGGAAAACGCCCTTATTCCTGATAATATGAACATTTCAAACGTTCCTTAGTTAAATTGGGCGCCGCTTGTATCAACTTACGTCGAGCACACATTTAGTATATTCAAGGCTTTTCTTCGCGAAAATCGAATGAAAATGCTCTACATGAAATGCTTCTACAACTATACAGATTAAAGTTTTATGAGTTAGAAACTCGAAAGGATAAAATAGTCAAAGATTCAAAGTACAAATTTTTCATATAATGAAACTAGTTCTTAGTTTTTCTCTTTTTACTTGTAATATAAACATTTCTAAAATAAATGTATTTTTTGATTGTTCTTCGTATTTTCTGTCTTTTTAGTGCCTTATTTTGCTTTTTTTGCAATACCTAGTGCCTTTTCCTGCCTTTTTCGCTATTTTGTTTTGCCTTTTTTGCCTTTTTTGCAACACCTAGTGCCTTTTCCTGCCTTTTTCGCTATTTTATTTTGCCTTTTTCAGCCTATTTCGTTATTTTATTTTGCCTTTTTTATAGGTTTTTAGGTCCTAAAAATCCGTTCCCTGTTTATATATATCAGTCTTTCTTAGTTGAAATTAAGCAAATATACATACCAAGTATGAATAAATTCTTCAAAGGGCTAAAAATGGGCAATTTTAAATTTATGAGGCCAAAAAAACTATGTGGTAGCTAAATCTAGCCACCAATGAGCTAAAACGGCAACACTGCTTGTAAATATACAACGGCTGCACTTGACCAAACAAAAGGCTGCACGGTTAAAATACCTGCACCAGCGAACGTGGACGGATACACAAAGTGACCCTGACCCGCACAAGAAAAAATCTTTATTATTATTATTACAATTACACTTTTTTTGGGTGGTATACTTACTTGTAAGTATGCAACGCCTGCACTTGACTAAATAAATCGCTGCAGCTGTAGATCCGAGTGGATTGCACCAACCAAACATGGCGCAATAAGAAAATCAATTTTCACCGGCAGTTTTACCTGTTGAACTTTTTATACAAAGACAATATTTCTCCTTGTATTTTAGTAGTAGTTTCTGTAAATAAAAAAGACAGCAACTCAGGCTAAGGCAGAATGCGGGAGCGAGACAACTGCCAGGTTATCCAACCTTGTATTATTTAATCATGATGATCATACACAGTGTATACACTTATATATATGTACATTTTCAGATGTGGACATCCAAATACGTACGCGCCAAATTTTGGTATGAAAATATTATTTTTAAATACGAACATTTTTAAACGATAATCAAATATAAAGTATTAATTTTTAATATGCATTGCCAATTGTTTAGCATATTTAAACGAAGTTGATCTGAAACCCAACGAAAGTTAAATGGCATTTAAGCAACAATCCACAATTAAACTTAAGTGCCATTTAAATATTCATTTGAAATTGGCCATAAGAATTCGCAAGTATCGAGTCAGTTGTGCATGAATTTAAATTCTCTTGAAATTGATTAAGCTTCTACTACAGACTTTGAATCGGATGATAAGTTAAAATAGCCAATAATGTATGCAATGTTCGCGCACATTCCTTCACTAATGTCTGATTTGTTCGCGAACCATACCACTAATGTCAAATTAGCTGGACGTTAGTGACTAGCTTTGATTAGCATGAAATTGTATGCAGGTACGCACGCTGTTATCACGATGTAGAGAAGACAAAGAGTGGCGCATTCATAAGTACCGTACTTTGTTCTTGGCGAGTTTGTCAGAACCAGCGGTATGTGTGACGCCATCATAGAAATGTCCGCGATAAGTTCGTTCTCGTACAGATGATTACCAATAATTAAATATTACTAGTTTTTGTAAGTAAATTTTGTTCACCATAAAAGTAAGCAGAAATAGCCAGCTAAGAATTCACGTAACTAATTTCTACTAGCTTCGCGTTTCGTTATTCTTATATAGTTCGCTCTTTTTGTTTATAAATGGCGACCGATACTAGTTTTTCTCTCCTTCGTTGTTAGCTGGACTTCATCACCCAAAGGGAAGCGCAATATTGAAGTCGACTAATACGTATGGAGTCAAAGCCCATTCCCTTTGGCCAACTATCGGCCGATTGTTAAACGATTATATGGCATTCCCATTTCATTCGTAATTGGCGAGCCTAATCACTTACTTAATTCGCAAAGTTTTGGGAGCGAATTACTTCATTCGTATGTAATTCAGATTCAATTATAATGCGAATTACGAACAAATCGTTATAATAATAATAGATGGGCGCTTACACAATATGTTAGTGTTTGGCCGAGCTTCTCCGATTTGTGGGTGCGCCTTGATGTTTTCACACAAAAGGGAGGGACCTACAGTTTTACGCCGACTCCGTACGGTGATTATATTTTTATGAGAAGCTATTTTTCATGGCAGAAGTACTACACTCGGAGGCTTGCCATTGCCTGCCGAGAGGCGACCGCTATTAGAAAAAAAAAAATTGTCTTACCTTTTGTTTTTGATGTTAGTCGGAACCTGGGCTCGGACCCAGGCCATGCGGAATGGTAGCGCGCACTGCTAACCATTACCCCACAGCGGCCGCACGAACAAATCATTGCCGTCCCCAATTTTAATCGAAAATTCATCGAACTCAGCTGTCAAAGCAAGTGAGAATACAAAACATCAAAGCAAAGAAAGAGGAAAGAAGGAAAAAAACAACGATGAACTGTCAAACCAAATAAAGAATGTGCCGTATATATCGGATGATTCGCCAAAGTAACTCAGAGCGAACCACGTAATTGGCAGTTCCTGTGGGGACTTAGTGTTACAGCTCATTGCGCGTATTCTGCCTGATAGTTTAGTCGGTCGATTTTAAGTTTTAAAAATTTTGAGCTTAAACATATGCACAAACAGTGCGTGATGCGATGGAGCTCAGTTCTTTTGGAGCTTAACTATCACCTATGTATACTAACGTTTAAGTGTGGCTTTAAAATGGCTGTTCCACTGAGTTAAATAACGGTTTGAAGTAGCCGGCGATCCCACAACTACTCAAATCAAATTTTACATTCCTAGAGACTAGCTTCACAGTATCCAAAAAGAATTCACCATCAGAAACCGAAAAATTACCAATTTCGACTCTTAATTTGATTGTACTAGGGGTAACGGATTTCGAATTATTAACTGCATAACTGATTCCGTTCTTACTATCCGCGAACGAAATAAGTGCAATTTGAGATTAGCTATGGAAAAAACGAATTAAATTAAAATAAAGTTTTAAGCAGTGCCAAGTTTTAAACAATTCAAACTTATCAGTTCATGTTTTAAAGAGCTTTAATCTTTTTCCTTTGAAGAATTTGCAAAACTCATTTTTAAGCTAATCGTATGTACACAATGAAAATATTGATAGCTGGTCACTTACTCAGCTTCTTATTCCAGGTACGGTTTTTAGTAAATATTTTTTGTATTTTGTTTTCCAGGCCAAACGTGATATCCTTTTAGATGATGCACAATCCATAATGTTGGCTGAAATTTATAAAACACTCACTTGCCTTTGGGATGAGAAAGAAATCTCATATAGATTCAAAAATAGACGTGAAGAGGCAATAAAGCTATTACAGCTAGAATTTAACGAAAAATCCGGATTAAATTTGACACAGCGCGAATTGGAAATTGAAATAACACGACTGCGTAGGTCTTGTACATACGAAAAGAAAAGAAAAATTCTATGTCAACGAAAAAACTTGGCATATCTACCAATAATTTCGTATCACGATCACATTAGATTTCTCGAGGTCGATGTTCCGCCCTTTTATTGCCCACAATGTGGAAAATTGCTGCTTGGCGCGGACGCATACAAAGTACATGTAGCATCTCACGACGGTTCGTTACCATTCAGATGTGATATCTGCGGACATGGATTCCAACTGTCGTGTAATTTGTCAGTACATTTACGAAGACACGTACAAGACTACACTTTTAAATGTGAGGTGTGCAACAAGCCATGCGCAACGACCTCGGAAGTAAAAATCCATATGCGCACGCACACCGACGAACGTCCATTTGTTTGCGATGTTTGTGGTCACAAAACGCGAACGTCATCACACCTTCTGTCACACTCGTTGCGCCACCAGAAGCGTTATCGTCACAGGTGTAAACTTTGTTCGAAAAAGTTCTATGATAAAGGATCCTTGAACGAGCATATGAGCGTCCACAGGAATGTGCGGGACCAAATATGCAATGTGTGCAACAAAGGTTTTGTAAGCACTAAGCATTTGCGGCAGCATATGCTTATCCATAATGCGGAAAAGAGGTATTTATGCAAGTTTTGTGGAAAACGTTTTGCCCAACATGCGGGTCTCAGCGGACACATGAAGTCGCACGGTACAAAATTGACTTCGAACGTGTATGAACTCATACGCTAGAGATAAAAAATTAATTTACTTTTATTTCCATAAAAATTTGTATTATATAACTGTGTAAGTGAATGTAAATTGGTATCCTAAAATAAAAAGTGAATTTAATAAAAATATAATCGTTGTTTTCGTGAAATTACACAAAATTCGAGGACGTAGGGTATAGTAGAATAAGTTACACCACACCGAAATATGTAGTACAAAGTAGTTTGCGGCCGTCGTGGACGAGTGGTTAGAGTTAGACCGTAATTCCACCCGGTAGGGCCCAGCATCGATACTTGATCCCAGTCAGATCCAAAAAATTATTTTTTTTTATAATAGCGTTAGCCTTTCGACAGGAAATGGCACACTTCCGGGGGTAATTTGGCCAGGAATAAGTTTCTCAAAAAATCCATTTGCCAGTCCTAAGCGAAACTCCTCCATTTGTGTGACAACAACAAGAGTAAGGGAGCCCAAGAGAGGATTTCGGGATTTATTTGAGCGCGGCAGATTAACATATGGGGTATACCTTGCATGTCTTACACCTCCACCAAATCTAAGCCCTCTATATTGGGCTGCGCTTGTAGGGCAGCCAATCAGAATATTAAAAAAATTAATAGTCAAGAGTTACTCGAACGAGTTAGACTAAAGCAAGCCACAAACGGGCAACAAATCAAAACGATCGGTTGAAACTCATTTCATTCACGCTCGTGTGGACTAATATCACGTCCAGGGTTAGAACACCGACAATCCTAAATCGGAGCAAATGGCGTGAAAAATCGTAGCAGAAAATAAAGTTTTGTAGTAGATTTTTTAAGCATCCCTCGTTTGCTGGAAAAACGTAAGAATCCAAAGATATAGTCTTTAGTAAAGTATCCCAAAATGAATGCGAAATCTTCTTTTATGTTCAACGAAAAATGCGTTACGATATCTCCAAATTTTGTTCCTGGAACTTCATCCATTACTCTACAAAAACTATAACAAGGAGACAATCACACTTTGACCAAAGTAAAGAACCAAATTAATATGCAAGTCTGGCATATTTTAGCGAACGAGCGCAAAAAAATTACCTTAAAAATTACGTACCAACGATTCTTATTGAGGGGAAATTATGAATATTACACTCAAATAAAAAACTTCTCTTAATTGAAGAAAAACGTATGTACATACATATGCGAACATAAGTATACAAGTTAGGTAATCCATCATTTAGCAAATTCTTTTTTATATACAGTATTGGTCAATACAATAGCACCCCCATTTCAAAGTCATATTGTTTGCCACTCATGTTTATTTATTTATTTTTAAGAATTTTCAATTAAAATACAGTTCATTCTCTGACAAAACTCACATAAACTTAAGTTTAAAACTTTTTAAAAGTCCGCAAAAAAGTGCAACAAATTTTCACCCAAATTTCAAACTTTTTTCTCAGAAGCGGTAGAATTTTTTTTGAATACGCAGTTTTATAGCCCATTGGATTTTAGTCTAATAATGTGCAGGTTTCAAGTGGCTAAAAATTACCGATGATTTTTTAAATTTTTTATTCGCCGAGGATGTTGCGGGTTTCTGCCATATAAAAATAAATTGTGTTTAGTCGTTATATGGAAGCAAATGAGACAAATAAAATTCTAAAAAATCAACGGTAATCTTTAGCGACTTGAAACTTGCACATTATTGGACTAAAATTGAATGCGCTATAAAACTGTGTACTCAAATAAATAATATAAAAAAAAAACTTTATAAATGGACTAAAAAGTAGAAAATAATACTTCTCAGTCCCATAGAATTTGTTTTGATAACTTTTGATTTTGAAATTTTAGCAAAAGTCATTATAAACAAT